TTTTTTTTTTCTGCTATATGATGTAAAATTAATATTATATTAATAATATATAAATATATTTTTTTTCACTTAAAAGCAAAATATATAAATAAGCTTTAATATAATATATTAGGTAATTTAAATCAATTAACACACATTATATATATATATGTATAGGTATGTATATGTTAATTAGTAAAGTTTATAAAAACAATGAGCATTTATATAAATGTTTTAAGCGCATTGCAGTGTTTTTAAATAGGAACATTATAATAAATGTAATACATTTTGTAATTAAAATTTGTTTGCAATTGCAAAAAAAAATTGTTTGTTTTCGTATAATATGTATACTGTCGTAGTAATGTTTAGATAGTATAGTGTCTGTTATACATAATAATTATGCTATTTTATATTTAATGAAATATTTTGATATACAATATTACATCTCAGCATTTTATTTTGGGCAACTCAAAATATACTTTAAGATAAGAAAAGAATTTCATTAAAAATTTTAAAATTCTTATGATCAACAACAAGTATAACAGTTATTTTACCTATTTAAAACTCAAATTCTTTTTTTTTTTAAATTTAAATAATATTATTTATTTTAATAAATAAATAAATAATATTTTATAAAAAATTTTTTATGAAATATATTTTTACGGATTAAAGTTTTCTATTTTATTTAAAATTTAATTTTAAATTGCATACGTTTTGGCGTACATTATTTATTATGTACTTAATTGTTTATAACACAACACCTATAAACTGGTAGATAAGTAACCTTAATGCAATTACATACTAATATAACAAAATTAAATTTTTTAAACCGACCGCATTGCATACAATAAGGGAGGTTATGTAATGGCAACAAATTTTGCATATCGAGTTTTCGGTGGGAAAGCATTTCTCCATAGTAGGGAAGCGTAAACAAACTATTCTTAGAGAGGTGTCGGTTTGTTGGTCAGTCGGTCTGTCTGTCTGTCTGTCTGTGTGTGTACGTATATATCTCAAGTTCGGCTGAATGATGAAATTTTATATGTAAGTTTATTTCGACTATGGCACGGATTGATCAACTTTTGTAATATATCAGGCCTAGGGAACTGCACTTGGGCCTGTTTTACATTTTTGATCATTTTGAAGAAAATATTCAACTGCTTTACTTGAAATTTCATATATAAGCTTCATTCGACCGTACGCGAAACCTCCTAACTTTTAGAAGAAATCAGGTGTCAGCAACCGGACCAAATATACATTTTTGCGTATATAAAGAAAAATAATTAACCGATTTTATTGAAATTTAATATAAAGTTCGAGGTGTTAAAACAATGAACATATAAATTTTTTGGAAAGATCAGGGCTCGGAAACTGATCTGAGGGCCGATTTTACATTTTTTACCATATCTACGGAACGAATTGATGAAATTTCTTGAAATTTGATATTTAAGTTCTGGTTGTCACTAAAAGTTACAGACGAAATTTTCGTATAATTCGGATGGCATAAAAGGAAAATCTGCTAAGAGCCAAATTCTCATTTTTCTAGGAATGTTTACTAAAAGCTTATTAGTGTCCTTAAAATTTTAATGAAATATTTAAAACGCATTTTCATAATCTTCTGGTATACTTTTACTAATTTAAACAATATACATTGCAGTCGGTTATGTGCAGAGCACATCAGATTTTTTTTAAATACCAAGGGGTGTGTGTTATAAAAAAATGTGAAAAAATTCAAAACTCATTATAATATAAATTTTTTAACTTTGTGGTTAGGACAATAATATTATGTACCAAACATGTGAAAACGCTTATTGTTTACTGCTATTTTGTAAAATATATAATAGTTAGGGGTGTTTTACATGCAATAAATAACAAATAAACTTTTAGAAAATAATAATTAGAATTAGTTGCGTGAGTATTGTTTTAAATTACCTAAAATATTTAATGTCAAATGATTTTTGTTATTTTTTTTTTTGTTTAATATTAAAATATCTATATGCAAATAATGTGATTATAAAAATTAATTTAAATGATATTCCTAATGATATTGGTACTATTTTTTTTATCGCTATAATCATTTGGTTGCAAATAAGGTCGAAAAAAAAAAAACAAAATACAATACAATTTCTCTATTACATTGACATTATATCGGTTGATCATTATGTTCATAAATGCTGATTAAAATTGTGAATGATTTACGTCTAAATTAAATGTAATATAATATATCGTTTCTTTTTCTTACTAGATTGATGGTAAAATTAAAATTTCAAAATGAAAATAAATTATGGCACGACTTTTATATAAATTACGATATTATAATAATGTAAAATATAATATGAGCTCCTATACAAGATAAATTTCATATTAAATAATCTGTTATACTTATATTTGTTTATAGGAATATAAGAGTAATTTATATTATATAATATATTTTGTAAATGCGGAGCTCAATACTCAAATATGTATAATGATTTAAAAACAAAATCACTAATACATTTTTTTTTATCAATTGATCAACATTAAGGATACTATAATGTCCAAAAATACAACAAATTTTACGATATAATATGAAACGGAATACATACGATATTCAACGTATAAGCTATATTTAATGATTACAAAATGGCGATACGATACGATTACATTGCGTACATATTGAAAAGAAATAATCAAAAGAGTCAAACCAAAAAAAAAAAAATTACTACATTTTTTTAAAAAGAAAAATACAAAGAGTTTAAATTTGGAGGCAAAATAAAAATATAAATACGTGAATGGGATTTTATTCTAAAACAAAAAACATAGGTTTAGTGCATATATTTTTGTGATTTTAAATACCAACAGGTTCACTTTCAAAAACCTACAAATTATTTTATGAGTTATTTTCAAATAGAAGCTTTGTTTCCAAAACATTGCGTGGTAAATTTGATCACTTTAGTTTAAACCTTTATTTTCTAATGATATTGTGATAAAATCACCATCATAATTTAATTATAACATATGACAGTTACCATAAAAGCAATTTTTTCCGTTAATTTTAACATAATAAACACATTATGATTTAATTCAGTTTAATCATAATTAAAGAGTCCATAATTTTGCTATATATATGCCCACTATATATAGAGTGAACTGAATCAATTAATTTTTTATATCATTCTTGTAATAGAAAAGAATCGAAAACTTAGAAGACGACTATATTTAAAAAAAATTTTGAAAAATTACAATATGACACCATAATTTTTAATTTGAATCATTATTATGTGGTTTAAAAGTCCTCTAACTATTATAGTTAATTATATTAAGCTTCTTGTTTTTTCTTCATTCTAATTTCCTAGAAATTGAAGTTAAAAATTTATTACTTAAAATTTAATACTATATAGTTATATATTTGTATACAAATAGGTATTTATATAAAATTAGAAAATTAAATTACTTTTACTTTTAAAATAATCTAATGAAGGGTAACTAAAGGAAAACTATATTATAATATTAACACTAATGTGATTAGGTGTATATATTCAGCGAGCGGGAATACTTCCTTTTAAATATATATATTATGGGTTGTGTATATATTCTTAAGTGAGTTTTTAATGTGCTTAATATAAGAATAAAATCCCAAATAATCTACTTTAAGAATTATTTAAAATAAATTAACTATATAATAATAAAAGCCATAAAAGAATTACTTAAAATTAAATTGTAAAGCAATAAAAACATTTTAAGAAAAAAAAAACGTATTATTTGCATTTAAATGTATATATATGCATTTATATATATATGAATATTTTAAAATGTCCCTAACTACTTTCCAACTATAATGTTTAAATAATTTATTGTTTTCGATAGTTAGATATCTAAGAGTTTTACTGTAATGGGAAATAATATAGGAAAATTAAATAACAATGTGTCATAATAAAAATATTTGTTTTCAAATGTTCTAGTATACGTAAGACTAAACAGTTATCAATTATTTCAATATGCAATTAGAAATAAACTGAGTTCAAATTTAGAGTAATATTAAGTTATCGAAATACGCTATTACTGCAATATTTTATTGAATTCATTATATATTATATAAATTACGAATTCTTTAGCTAACAAAGCATAGATTATGTATTAAAACTATATTATTGCAATTTTCATGTCACGGATAGTTTTAAGATTCCATTAATTTGAGAAGCTTTTCAAACTTTTTATAATTTATATTGAAATTCATAATCATATTAGAAAATATTTATTAAAGAAACTCAATTCTTTTGAAATTCATAACCATACTTATGAAAAATTTTCTTAATGAAATCCTATACGTTTTAGGAATTAATTGAAAGTGTATAAAAAGTATTGCAACCTCGAAAACTTTTAAAAATTCAATATTTTAAATAGTTCATAAAAATATTTTAAATATTTAGTAAAATAATACGTTTTTTTCTTTAATCAAAAAATTTGAATTTAACTAAATTAAGAAATTATCAATTATTAAAACTAAAACCAAAACAAAAAAAACCAAAATTTAAAAGCGTTTCAGCAAAAACCAATATTTATAACACTTTTATTACAAAACCTAAAACAAAATAAAAAATTTCTACAAAATCAAAAGAAAAAAAATATTTTTCAATGATTTTTAATGAAGTTTCGATTTTTTATTAATTTATTTATTTATTTTCTTCATGTTTTCTATATTCGGGGCTTAACTTTGTTGGAAAAGCACCAAAAACAAAGAAAAAAATAAATAAATTTTTTTTTAACATTTTTTTTTTTAAAAAGTAAAAAATAATTTTTTTTTTTATTGAAAACTAAAAAAAAAAATATCAAAAATAAAAAATACAAAAAAAAAACTTAATGAAATCAAAGGTGGTATATAGAGGTTCTGGAAACAGAAAGAGTGAAAGAAAGTAACCGAAATAACGGAAAAGGAAAATAAAATGTAACAGTTTTTTTTTTTTTTTTTTTATTTAATAAAAATATCGCAGTTTCTTTTAATATTCTTTTTTTTTTTTTGTATTTTCTTTAGTTTTTCGTAGTACCTGAAATGTATATTGAGTACGCATACAGTTGTCCAAACTGAAAGCGAGACCAATATCATTGTGAATAACAAATATTTTCCCAACAATGGAATTGCCAATGATGTTGGCGGAATAATTTCAGCCAAAAGTAAAAAGAACACAGTCAATGAGACAAGGATCGAGATACACAACGTGACCTGAAAATATAAGTTTTTTTTTTTTTTTTTTGTTGTTTTTATCTTTGTTTTTTGATATTCTAATTTTTTTATTATTATTTTTTTTAAATTTAAATACATAATAATTAAATAATTATACATTTCAAATTTTAAATTTAAATTTTTTATTTTATACATTTTTAGTTTTTTCTTTTCAAGTTTATTTATCAATATATTAGAATTTTTGTTGTAAATCAGTAAACTTCAAATTATAATAATATTAAATTGTTTCTGGAATCGGAATTGCAAGAAATAATAATATATTAACACATAATTGATAATTATATATAAATATACAGTATTTCACAAAATCCGATCTCAGGGTGTATTACAACACAATTCAACTTATAAATACGAATTCCTGAATTGTATATATATACGAAAATTATCCAAACATCTATATATACAAATGAAAGATTAATATGTATATATAAATTTAATGTTAATTTAATTTAAGTACAGGCACATTGAGTGTTATAACCTGACAAACAAAAGTAATTGAAATTTTACTTTTGAAAGCAAAATATTTTTTCGTGCATATTACTCATTTGTAATGTACAGGATGATTCAATAATGCATTGTTTAAATATGCCTTAAACGACTTGTCACTTTTAAGAACAATTATTTTAATAAAAAAAATTAATTTTAAGAATTTTAATTAAATATAATAAATTTTAGAAGAAAAATTCCTATGATTGAAGAATAAATATCGGCTTGGAAAGAATCCGATGATTTATTTTACATTTAGCACGCCTTTGAAAAGGTTTATTTTATAGCAAGAACTTTGGAAAAATAGAACCATAGGTTTTTTTTATAAAATTTATTGTTTTTTTAATTAAAATTTTAAAATTCAGTTTTTTTTTTTTTTATTAAAATGCATAGTTCTGAAAAATGTCATATGCTTTTTAAGAATGATAATTTCATTAAAAATTCAAAATTTTCAGTCTTTAAAATTTTGAATTTCAATATTTATTATCATGTTCGTGGAGTTTAATGCTTAAGCATACAAATTTCAAGATGAACTTGAATTATATAGCATTTGAATAAGACATTAAAATTTAAAATAACACATTTTTTGAAAAATTAAAAAATCTTGTCTAATACAATATTTGATTTCAAATATGTATACATAAATCTGCAAGGCATAAATCTTTTTGAATCGCAAATTAAAACCTATGAAATACTTCTTATGTAAATACATATATTGTTATATTTGAGATGTACATATGTAAATAATTCCATTTTCAGCTTTACTATCAAAGATGTAAGAGTATTAAAACTATGTTATGTAACATATGTAATTTTATTTATAAATAAATTTATATACATAATATGTAAAAAATTGGAAATTTAATGAAAATTCGTACATTGTTATTTTAAAAAAGTTTTCTTTTTTTTTTTAACATTCTGATCACATTTGTTATACAAAATTAAAAATTTGTGTGAAAAAAAAGAAAATCATCAATGGTACATTCTTACATACATTGTTTATAATGTATACTTACGCTTCTTCGAAATTAGTTTGTTTTCTTTCAGAATATTGAGAAAAAACTTACAAATTAAATAAGCAAAACCCAAAATATATTATTTTGGTTTTCCACTTTGGTATTATATTTTGGTATTCTATTGAAATTTAATAATAAATAAAAAGAAAAAGCCACAATTTTTATTAAATTTTTCTTTATACATTAAGATCAGTTCAAAATTTCTTATATTTTTAATAATTAATTTTCAATATAACAAATATAATTTCGATATTTTATATTTTGACTAAAGTTTTTTATGAAAATAAAGTTCATATTTAAGATTTTCTTTTATTATTGTCAAGTCAAAATTTAAAATTAGAGTGACAACACTTTAAACTTTGAATAATATTTTAATAGCAGTGCAACACCCCCGTATAAATAGTATGAGAAATTGAAAATCTCATATAATAGTATGAGAAAAATATGATTTATCGTATTGCACTGTAAGTACCAAAATTCCAAAATAAATGAATAAACAATGTTAAAATATTTATGAAAGGATCAAAAACAGGAGTTAATCATAATCTTAAACGAAAACACGCAAAATTAACTCGATGTAATCAAAAAAAATTCTCCAGGTTATTTAAATGTTATTAGGTCAGTGGTTTAGTCCCGCTGAAACATTAATTATTTTGATTATTTTAAAAATATGGTTTTACAATAATATCCTTTTTTGATTTAATAATTATAATGTGATTACATTTTTTATCCTTCACCAATATGTATGTTTGTTTCATAAGATATTAACCGAAAAAATTATACCCTACACCATTTACAATCTGACTGTAACAACTGCCATATACAATCTGACCGTAAAAACTAATTTTTAAAATATTAAAAAATTAGCTTTAAGGTTTTCGTTGACATCTACTCTATTCTAGCTACCATAGATTTGTTATGATGTAATAAATTCCATACCAAAGTTAATATAATCTTCGTTAAAGGTGTAGGGTATAAAAATATCTTATTTCATTTAATATGAAAGAGTAGTGATGTTATTATTTGAAAACTGTATACTTAATTAGGGGCCGTTAATATTTTGTATTAATGAAAACAGAAAAGGATAAATAATATTTTAAAAATTAAAATATGTTAAAAAATATTTTCTTTCCACATAGGAAATCGAAAATAATTTTAAATTATATAGACATTATATGTTACTTATCTTATATGGACGTATATGGAAGTTTATTAATGTAAAACTTGAATAAAACTAATGCTTTTTCATTATTCTCATAATATCACAAGATGAAAACGTATAACCACAAGTTGAGTAAGCCTGCTACAGATAACGCAATCGGTTTCTTCTTTATCTTTCCATCATTATAGACTATGGTTTAGTTTTATTAGTTTGGGCATTTAAATTCTGAATATATTGCATGATCAACAATTTTGATATACTGAAAAAGAAGACTAAAGAAAATCGTTTTGTTGTTCTTACAAGTATATTCATGAAATATTTTGTCCAAATCACTGACACCTCTCCTTTTTTCATAGTTATAACCAAGAATGATTTCACGTTTTTATGACATTCGTCGGTATTTAATATACAACGAAATATATTTATTTTTGGGATGTACAATAAAATTTTATAACAATTCTACTGGGTGAAAAATTATCTTAGTTCAACATATGATGCAAATCTAAACCTATATTTGCTATTCTAAGTAAAACTTGTTGATGGTGCGATAAAGTAGAAACCAGTTACATTTTGTGAAAACTTCATAATTTCTTATTAAGTAATTGTTTCAATAAACGAAAATTATTTAATTCTTTTATAACTCGATATTTTTCTTGGGATGATGAGGAAAATTTACCGTTGATAACAATTTTCTACTGAAGTAAAGACATCTCTCGTAATTTTAAAAACACACACACGGACGGACGGAATAAAAATAATGAACACTATCTCAATTTTATTACAGAGCCCTATTGTAACATAAATATTAAAAGGATCATTATGTATGTAGAAAATTTTTTATTGTTTGATTAAAATTTGTTTACAAAACAAAAATAAAAATCTAAAATTTTCGTATGTAAACAACCATTAAGACGTAAGGTCGCAGCAAGACGCCATAAAACCAATTTTTTAAAAAAAATATTTTTATCACTGTACTTTTATCTAAAAGGAAAACACCTTTTCCTATAACCCACAGCGTTTATACTTATACACGAAGAGAAGTGTGGTGTCATGGTTTTTATCTATAGAAAAATTATGAAAATATTAGAAAATTTTATCCAAATTTTTTACTAAAAAACGAATTTAATCGATAAATACATATTTTTTACTTCAATAATTTTTAAGAAGTAATAAATTTTAAATGAATTAATGAGATCAATAAAAATCATAGGCAACAACATTGTGAACAATATTTTCTAACTAATTGCCATTAATTAAGATTAAGAAAATTTGTGTTTTATAAAATGATAAAACACATAATATTAATTTCAATATTTTGTTTGGAATTATTTTGGAAGTTGAATAATATAAAGAAAATTATCTGCTTGTATAAGTCTTTAATTATGAAAATTTTCAATTAAAATTATTCATAGAAATCAATGAAATTGAAAATTTTCATTTAAAATATCGAGATCTAGATTTTCATAATGTCAGAATATAAACATATATTATAAATATTATATTTATTAAATTTCAAATATTAAAATATTTGATTATACTAATAATATCGTAAATTTACTATTTTTCTACAGAAAAATTGAATAATTGAATCACTTTTTCTACCAAAAAAAAGTTTAAATTAATAATTTTTTACCCACATGAATGGGTTAGTTCCCGTACCTACATACAAAATAAAAATTCGTTTTCATCGTTTAATCGAACAGAATCAAAATTTGAAATTTTTGTGAACTTATTCTGTTAGATGATGTAATTTCCTTCACATTGGTTCAAAATACAAAATGATAAAGTTGAAAACTGATTGAGTTTTTAAGAAAAATTTGAAAGTTTAACTTTTATACAGATTTACTTATATATGTACCTGAGGATACATTACATTGTATTTGAACTGTAGGTATGAACCTCATTACATTATACCGTGTCAATCTTCAATTTTATTTCGAATAAATTAATATGTAAAGCATTCGCCCACAGGTTCAAGACACATCGTATTCAAAGGTACATTTTTGAAATATTAAAATGTCCTCTTTGACTCTATTTAATGGAATATAAAATGCATATTATATAATACAAAAATGAAAACGTTTTTGATGGAAGCAACAAAATCTTTTAAAAAAATACTAAAAAAAATGAACTTCTTTAAGGCGAAAAATCAATTGTGTTTTTAAAATATTTTAAACTGACATACAATAAATTGAACAAGAGCAAAATAGCGTTTTCGAAAATGAAAAATACATTCTAGAACTGTATAACATTTAAAGAAAACTGGCATATTTTCTGAGTTATTAAAATTGTTCACATGTAAAACAGTCATTATAGGTACGGGAACACACGCGTTTATTAAAATTTTAATAGTTTTATCCTTGTTTAATATTAACGCATTTTTCTATTAAAATAATCAATTTTCATTTTTTAATATTTTCCGAACATTAACTGACAAATTTTATATTCATTTTTTTATTTTGTATTTTTTTATTTTCTCACAAAATCAAAATCAATAACAATTTTTGTGGCTTTTACCTTTATATTTGCTTTTTTTTTTACATTATAATCATCATATGATTATTTGTAATCATTCTTATCAAAATCATGATTATTCCGTCATCTTATGTTACCATTATTATCGTCATCATAATCATCATCATCATGAGCCATTATCATAATCATTATGATATTTTATACATATAAAAATATTTATATGCCAGAACAATAAAGTTCTTACCAATTTTCACTCACCTTTTCACCTGAATCACTTGGTAAATAAAAAACAAGCACCGTTAAAAATGTTAAAGCAACACATGGTATTATTAAATTCACGGTGTAAAAAAGTGTTTTACGTCTCATCGTCAATTTAAATGTGATGTCTGAAAAATTTTTTTTTTTTTTTGAAAATAATATTATATAACATATAATATAAATCTATTATATTGTCATAAAATCGAATGAAAATGATTATATATATAGTTATTAAATACAAAAATGAAATAGTTATATTAAATGTATATTATGAGTATGTATTTAAAATGAAAAATGTGAAAAATTCTTACTTAATATTTATATGTTATATGTATTTATGTAAATTTGATAATTAAAATAAAAAATCATACCTTTATGAATAATTGTAGAAAAGCAACATATTGCTTTAAATTCAAATATAAATTTAATAAATTTACCAGAAAATGGTTCCAAACTTTCAGGATAATATTCTTCATTCTTTGTTGCCGGCACTTCAAGTATATCCCATTCGACAGATAAGTAAAATTCACTTAAATCAATTCCAACTTTAACCAAATTACTACCAGGTGTCTGAAATTTTTAAAATAAATTTATAAAGTATTGAAAAAAATTTATTAAAGTTTGTTTAAATTTTTATATTATGTAAAAATTAAAGTATATGTATGCCTTATTTTTTAAATACAATTGCAGATTGTATACTTAAAAATTTAAAAATTTGGCATAATACAAAAAATAGTGCATTAATTTTGCTTTAAAATTTATGAGAAATCAGGTTTAAACCTTATAATTTGTTTTGAACTCTCCAAAGTTCCAACTCATAAGAATCGACTCATTTAATACATTTCAAAATTTGGATATTTCTAATACCACCTTAGCCGCAAATTTAAAATACTTTGAACGAATTATAATTAAATAATTAAAATAATATAAAACAAAAATTAATAATTTAAATTTCGAACTATACAGGAATGTAAGAGCGCAAAAATTCAATATAATTGGACCAATAATAATTTATTTTAATAATTTAATAAAATCATAAAATTAATATGAAAACATAATATTATTAAACCGAATTAAAATATCTAGAAATAAATCCGAAATATCAATAAAATTTTCAAACTATAAAAATTAATATTCAAATTCGATATGATCGTTTTGTAAAATACATATTTATGTAAAATAACACATTAATATTTTATAACATTGTTAATAGTTATAATAAATTGAATAATAGAAACTAATAAAAACAATACAATAAAAAAAAAATATACAAAGCTATTGAGGAAAATCAATTTAAAAATATAAATTCAGTAAAATAAATTATAATAAAGTTTAGACGCGTGTTATGACCGACCGACATTGCATACAATAAGATTGGTTGCATGATATCACCAAATTTCGTATGTCAAGCCATTGGTCGAAATATACTTCTCCCTATCTGCACGCTTCCCTTCCATTAATAAAATATTTTTAGTAAACTTCGATGAATACTTATATTTGAGTTCACTTTGGATTTGATCAAATTTTTGCAATTTTAAATATCGGGAACTAAACCTTTTCTACGACTTAACTACAGCTTGTAAAGAAACAATCAACAAATTTCTATTAAATTTTATATTTCAATTCAGACGCTATGGGCTATTTTTCATTGATTTTACATTTTTCATGATATCTAAAGAATGAAATGGCTGGGTTTCTTATTTAATTCTTAGAATTAAAGAATTAGAATTAATGGCTTTATTTTAATAATAATCTATAAAATGAATTTACTGGCATATTCGAACAAAATTTTGGTTCAGTTATTTGCTGACCACATCAGATGTTTTTTTTTATTAACAATTAAAATAACAATATTATTCAATTTATTTTTTAGAAAAATATTTAAATAAATAACACAATAATTTTGAATATAAATCAATTTTGAAAAGAAAAAAAAACAATAATTCAAATATAACAAAAACAATAGTGGTCCTTTTTGAAAAACAATATTGTAAATTAATGATTTTTATTGGAAGTTTTAAATTGATTTTCTTTTTTGTTATAACAAGTATAAAATGTATATTTATTATATAAATAATATTATATTTATATAACAAGTAAACGTATAACATAAAAGCATATTATGTGATATAATAATCAAATCAATTTGTAATTTCAAAAACTTTAATGTTATACAGAAAGAGTTAAAATTTTGTGAAAACTTTATTTGATTTTAAAATCAAATTTTGATTAAAATAAAAAATAATTAAAGAATTTATTGTTTTTTTGTTTAAATAAAAATTTATAAATAGCTATCGTACATTTGAAATTGTACATTCGGGCTTGACGACGTTGAATAAGACAACTAATAATAAAACAATAAATATTACTATACAGAAAAAGTGTGTCGGTGTTAACTGCAATTACTATATTATATTATCTATTGTCTATCTATAGACGAGAATTCTTCTTATTCTGAATTTAACGGCTCTTAACGTTTTATTATATCGTGTATCGGTTATGAAAATCTAACAAATACCAAATATTTAATGTAATTAAACTGAAATCGAATTTTAAAAATTTCAATATTCTAAAATTTTAAAGTATTGTATCTTTCTATAATTTTTAATATTTCAACTTTATATTTTTTTCCATATTCTTTAATTTTCAATTTAAAAAGTTATACATCCCTGCACAAATATGAAATTAGAATTATTCTCTTTACTCATTATTAAGACTCCATATTTTATATTGGGAATTAACACAAATGGATATAAGTATAGATTATCACTCTCTCCAACTTCGAAAAATAACAGATTATAACTATGTACTTGTTTAGTTTTAAGAGGACAACACAAAATTTAAATTCTTATAAGATATTATTTAGTATGTAAGTTGCAATAAGGAATAAATTGATTGCCGTATTTTAAAACAAAAATTTTTCATTTTCTTACCACAAACCATAATCGTATAAGTTATAACAAAAATTTTATATAATATTCTTTATAGACTTTCATTCCACAGTTTCTTTACATATCGCTGTAATATCATCTAGCATGAAATGAAAATATAAGCTTCCGAAACTGCAAGCTTTTCCAAATTTCTAATAAAAACATAAAGCTAACGGTAAATTTCATCACAAAATATATAATTATTTATATCAACTCACGCTTAACTATTGGTCATCCTAAATATATGCAATATGATTTGAAATATTTCTATATTTTAATGAAAGTAATTTAAATAATGGTTAATGGTAGTAAAATATTTTTGAACAGTATTTTTATTTAACCAAGGGAAAAGTGCTTCTTTAAAAACCACAGATTTTACTTAATTTTATTAAAGTACCAACATTATTACGATATTAAATTTACTAAATACATTTTGTCTTAAAATTTCAAATTTCATTTTATTTTTTTTTTTGAAACTTAATAAATTGTCCAATTTTTAAAGCAATCAAAATGAAAAGAGAAAATAAAATTAAATTTTAAAAACAGACGAACAAATTACATCATTGCATTTTAAAAGTAAATTCACATAAAAATTATATGATTTAATGGAACAAGTGAGTGAGTGAGATGTTGAAAAATTGTTTGAAGAAAAATTGAATATAATTGGATTGGTAAAAATCTTTTATTTTTTTTTTTCATTTTATCATTTCTAAAGTAATAATTTTCGAAATACTATACAGAAAAATATAAAAATAAAATTACAAACATAAAATTCTTTTCCTTCATATACAATTGAAATAGAGTAAAGCACTTTTTATCCTGGTAATCGTCCATAACTACTTTAAAAGAAGCCAAATAAATTTTATTTTTTAAACAACGAGCAAAAAAAAATTATATAACAAAAAAAAATAGCTGTAGTGGACATGATTTTAATTTTTTTTTTTTCATTTTTTTATTTGTTTTTATCCTTTTACTGTCGCCAATTTCGCCATTTTATATAAATTCACATTATATTATACTTGTATTATATAGTATATAATATGTGTGAATATATATAAGTATGTAATATGCGTAGACATAATGTATAAATTATTTTGAAATGGTTAATTTTATATATATTTTAACTGTGATTTTGTATTTTATTTATAATAGTGGTACACTCGCTTTCATTTACATTTTATTTGTTTTAATTCAAAATTATAGTTAAAAAGATAAATTTTTCAACTTAAAGTGAACAAAGCCATTAATTTAGGCTTCTTCCATTACTACTATTTTTTGGTGTTCTTTTTTTATAGCGCATTTTTATAATATTTATATGATAATGTCCTTTTTTGTTTTCTTTTAAAAATGAGTAGAATAAAAGACATCGTTAAAACCGAATGTAGTGATAGAACAGAAGAAAAGAAAAAAAAAATTTTTTTTTTACTATTTACACTTGAAATGTTTTTTTTTCTATTGTACAATTTGGCTATTACACATTATTGTATTTATATTGTAGTTATTAGATGTACATAGATATTATGAGTACGTGTAAGTTATGACAAGCATGAACTTACTTACAATATTTACAATATAAATAATTAATATATGTATTGTATATTGTGTGAATATACGCGTAAATAAATAATGTATTGCAGCATAAGAAGCATTCTATAATAAATTTTTTATACAACAATATAATAGACAAAGTTTATATGGCAATCAAATGAAATATACTATTGTAGATGTAGATACATTTATGAAGCCGTAAATGGACTTTACTTTATGAAATTTTAAAATATTTTAATTATTTTTTGAATGATTTGTAAACAAAATTTTTTAAAGTGCTAAAATAAATGAACAAGAGTTAATTATATAAGAAGTTAAATAAAACTAACGATAGATTATTAAAAGCCCTGTTATTATTTTTATCATTTGTAATAATAAATTGGTAAATCATTATTATTATTAATAAGACTCACATTTGAACAAACGCTACCGAATTATCAAATTTTTGCTTAAAAATTTGTTGTCAGTACACGAAACTATTATCCTACATTTCAATTGAATCGGAAGAAATAAGGTTTCACAAGGACAACACTATAAGCGGTCAGATCACACACTTATCAAAATTAAAATTTTACGTTAAAATTTATTATACGAATTGTAATTGCCAATTAGATTCGAAGGCCATACAACTTTACTTCTTCTATTTAATATTTTCTATGAGGTTGTACACGATTTAAGCTAGTAAATTTATCATACTTGAACCATCGAAAGCTAACATTATTTTTGTTACTCTTAATGTATGACAGTCTAAAATATGACAACCTCTTTTTAAACAGTCAGAATAGTCATATGAGAAAAATGATTTTCTAATGTCAATACGATATTTTTGTTGTTCGAGATATAAAAAAAATTTTTTTAATTAAAATTCAATTTTTTTGTTATTAAGTCAAATATTTTTTTTTATTAAAAATAAATTATAAACACTTATGAATTATAGTCCCTCACCCGCAGAAGAAGGGAAATACTGGAGAACTACATACTCACTTCGGCGGCGCTGCGGTAAGAGATACTCGAGTTCATCAGGAGGGTAGACCTCGGGAAGATGTTTTAGGAGCGTATACAACACATAGTTGGAGGCACAATAAATCCTTATATGGTGGTCGCGGTTCACGCCTGTACAATATACAATCAGTTCAATTTATAATAAAAATTCTTTAATTTTGAATGAAACTTAAGATCTTAATAACCCAACACAATTACTGTTAACTTTATTATATTAATGAAACAGTATTATATTAATGAAACTTATAAAAATTAAGTCACATTCATTCTTATACACAAATATGAAAACGATTCTTAAAAGCATTTTCAATTAAAAAGTAAATTAGTGAAAATTTGAAATTAAAAATCTTAATTGTTCAGATTTTCAATTTAACAATAATTATTCAAAAATTTATAAACTTATGATGAAAACTTATGAAAATTGGAATAGTTTTATTAGTTGGTATACCTGACATAAAAACAACAAATTTTTTATTTTCTCTATATAACTTATAAGTGTTTCTATAAACTCAAATATGGCAAAAATAACAATGAAAAGAAAGGATACTCGTAAAATATAAAATTTTAAAAAAAAATATGAAGTTTATGGAATTTCTTCTGAAAAAATTTTATAATTTTATGAGATTTGTGCAACATTTCTATGTGCTAAAAATATATTTGTACATTTAAAACAATTTGTCAAATAAAAGAGGTTTATCACAAATATTTATTATTAGGTTTAAGGATAAGAAATGTTTTAACTTAACAAACATAAGTCTGAACAATTTAGAAAATTCCTTTAGGAAAATTTCAAATTTTCTACTATATATTCGACATTTTAATTTTAATGGTCCAGACTATTTTTAATTTGAATTTATCTAAATGCAAAAAGAAGCAATATTTTTGATAATATTAGGTAATTTCGAAAATTAAATAAACAAAGAAATGTTGCGTCTCATAATAAACAAAATATAAAATACAACATTATACAAAATATAACAGTATAGAAATATAACAATTGGAGAATATTGCAAATATCAGTTAAAACAGAGATAAACGGAAACATAGTAGCAGAGTGGTTCGATCACGTAATCACTAATATCTTGCATACATATATTATATCGTATAAAAATGTATATACTTATTTATAGACCGACAAAATAATAATAAATCTAAATTTCATTTTAAAATCATAAAAAAAAAATAATAAAAAAATAAAATAAAAATTTTCTTTTTTCCATCCTTACAATAAAGCAGAAATAAAATTTAAATTCTTTAATATTTTTTTGTATATATTTTATGTTGTAAAATATTATGTATGTATATATACGATGCGTATTATATTTATAAAATAGTATGTAATTTGATATTTACACTGCAACATTGCAAAAAATATTAATATAAAAATATGTAATGAATACAGGACAATATCCTTTCCCGTATATTATATTTTATCCTTTTCATTTTTTTTTTCATTTAAAACAGTCATCATATGCAATATTTGTGTAATGTGTAGATATACATGTATATTTTATAAATTTAAAATTATATATGTATAAAATATGTACGATGAAGCCAAAAGGGATACTAAATTGGTTTTTATTATACATGTTTTTTTTTTACTTTTTTTTTTTTTGTCTAGTAGGAAATTCAGTAGGAAGTTGTATATTTGCTTTGCTGCTGGTGATAGTTGTATAACATCAGCATGGTTCAGACTGAAAAATAATGCTACTTTTTTATTCCATATATGTATACACATATATATATACTTATGCATTAAAATTTTTTGCTCTTTAAATTTAAAAATTTTGCATAATTTCACCAAGTGAAAAATTTATTTCATTATAGTTGGACGAAAAAAAAAAAAAATTTTTTTTATTTATACCATGTTTTTTTTTTGTTTGTCATGTTCAAAATTGAACACAATATAAACATTGTATGCATAATATATATAATATTTATAATGCAGTATATCTAGAATAAAATATGATTCGAATATTGTGCACATAAGTAAATTCACTTTTTTTTTTGTCAGACTTTTTTTTTATTTATTTATTATTATTATTTGTTCTGAAGTAACTCCCAATATAATTCCCTTAGTAATTTATATTTTTTTTTTGCTTAAAATTCTTTCAAAAGAAAAAAGCATAGCAGATATCAGAAATTGATTTTATTTCCGCTCCTATCTTTTTCAAGCAGTCTATTAAAAGATTATGATGTTACAAAAAAAAAAATGAATTATGAAATACGAAAAAAAATTGTATAGCAAAAAAAAGATAGAAAATTTGATGTGGTCAGCACATAATCGATTAGTAAAAGTATTCCAGAATATTATGAAAATGCGTTTTAAACATTTCATTACAAATTTAAGGACACTAATAAGCTTTTAGTTAACCTTCCTAGAAAAATATTAACTTGGCTCATAGTAGAGTTTCATTTTATGCCATCCGAATTATACGGAAAGTTCGTCAGTAACTTTTGGTAACAACAAGAACTCAAATATTAAATTTCAAGAAATTTCATGAATTCGTTCCGTAGATATAGTAAAAAATGTAAAATTGGCCCCCGGATCAGTTTCCGAGCCCTGATCTTTCACCTCAAATTTAAATATTAAATTACAATGAATAGTTTATTCATTGAGAAGTGCGTTCTCTTCCCTACCATGGAAAAGTGCGTTCCCAGCGAAAACTCGACATCCAAAATTTGGTGTCATCACATAACTTACGTTATTGTATACACAATGTACCGACCGCATGGAAAAATACGAAAAGCAAACGAAAATTCTCTTTTTTTTTTTTTAATCATTTTTGATAAGCATAAAGTACAAAAAAAGGCGATAAGAAAAATTTTGTTTTTTTTTTTTTTGTTTTGGGAAAGTTTGAGGTATAAACATTAAAACGCATTTAAAATACCCCATAGTCATGATGAAATGTCATTTAATATTTTGTATATGACGTTAAAGTTAGGGGGGGGAAATCATTTTTTTTTTTTTTGAAAGTAATGTTTAAAATGTCAAAAGTTGATTTTCTTTGTTAAAAAAATAATTGTCATTAGAATTCGATTAAAAAATTAGAAATATTAAAAAATAAAATTACAAAATAAAAAATTGGGATCTATTCATTTGTTTGCAAAACAGTAAATTTCGCTTGAACAAGTAAAAAGCAAATTTTTACAAAAAAAAACATGACGAAGAAACTGTTTTATTCTCATATTGCGAATACCTATAGGGAAAAAATTAGCTACCAATGAAATAAATTGTTTATTATTGAAGCTTTTAGAATTTTAGAGTCCTAGCATCTAGACCATGCATGAGAAGAAGAATGTTTAAAATTTGCAAAAAATGTAGATTTAAGATGTTGCTGGAACGTTTGCCTACATTCCGTTTGGCAGTAAAATTAATAAAGTCTCTATTTTTCTGCATTTGCTAAAAATCTAAGAATCTAAGAAGTATGCTTGCGGCATTTTCCTAACTTTAAGTGTTCATAATTTTCGCAAGAGACTAGAAATAAGTTGTAAAAAATTTTCGTTTAAATAATTAGTTTTCTGACAAAGGTGCAAAGGTGTTGTAATTAGACTCACAAAGAAATGAAAAACGGATAGTTTTTCTTTCACAAATAATTCTGGTAAATTTCTCTTTTACTTTGGAAATTTTTTTTATTTTTCGACAAAATCGCCTCAGTTTTCCAAAAGAATTTAATGCAACACCAAATTTTTTCATACTTAATACAAAAATATACAAAATAAATAATTTATTTTTTAATTTTAAAAATTAAATAAAAAACTTAAATGTAAATAAATTTTGTCAAGTGCACAATATAAACAAATAATATTAAAACTAAAACAAAATCTTCATAATATCTTAAAATAATAAAAACAAAAGTGGGAAAAAATGAATGACAAAAAACTAAGAATACCTTCTGTTCAAAAAATGCATTAAAAAGAAAATTTTCTAATAAAATTTTAAAGGAAAAAGTTTTTATTAAAAAACTTTTCTCTTGAAGAAGTTTTTTTTTTGGAATTTCCAATTTGAATTTGAAAGAAATAGAAAAATTACATTCAAATGTTGAAATAGATTTCTAGATTTGTTTATAATTTATTGAGTGAAATTGGATTAAATAGAACTGCTTTGAATTAGTTCTTAAGTGTCTTAATTTAATTAATATAGTTCTTAGAGTTAGTAATCAGAGTTCTTTGAAACCTTCCTTATAACACAACTTATGAATATATTAAAAAAATTTCCAATTTGTATTTCGGAAAAATTATTCACTATATTCGAACCAAATAGGTAATACCAACACTGCAGGAAATTTATTCAGACGGCAACAAATTTTTATTGCCAGAAATTTTTCCAATTTCTCAAATTAAAAAATATAAAATAATTGCTGCGTCATAAATCTTACTGGCATTTAGTTATCCGGAAGATTATAACCGTGACACACAAATTTAAAATAAATCATACATTAGTAAATAAATTTTTATTGAATCACAAATTAAAAAAATTTTAATCAAATTAATTTTGTAATAAAAATTCTTCATTCAACTCACTTGATCAAGATGTTTTAAATCCACCTGTAGTCCATTATATGTCCATGAACCAAATTTCATAAAACAAATCTGCTCATCATATGGAAAATATTCAACATTCATTTCACAAGAAGCTTTATAAATTGCCGGGGGCTCCCAAAATACTTCCCCCGTATATTTTAATGTTGCTTTGGTCATCAAAGTTACCTTATAATAAAAAAAAACATTATTTTTTTTTTACATTCTTTGTTCACATTTTTTTTTTGTTAAAAAAAAAGCATTATTACCACAACAAAAGTTACGAAAAAAAATTATGTGGTTTTTTGGCAAATGATAAAAAAAATTTTTTTTTAGATCTATAAATTTTGAGATTTACATTGAAGTTATATAAGAATGATACTAAATTTTATTATTTTAAAAAAATTTTAGTAAAATCGAAAAGTTATTTTATAAGAGAAATCTAAAATGATCTGATTTTGATGGATTTAATCATATTATTCTTCGATATTAATTAATATAAGGATAAAGAAAAGGATAAGACGGAGATTTTTCAATTATAAAACTCTAATGCATTAAGACTCAAGTAAAACGCAATTTTACTCAATAAATGATGTACACAAGTACGAATATTCAAAAATATTTCCAAAAATTCAGCAAAAAAAATTATAATCATATTATTTTTGCTGAATTTCGTCATAAAGGAAAAATGAAAAATATTAATATAAACTTACTTCATAATTTCCATCCCAGTTGTTATAAAGAACAATATCAGGTAACCAAATATGTTCTGATGGTACATATAACATTTCAACGCCACCATATTCTTCTGGATCCCAACGCAATTTGTAATCAAACCATTTCTGAAAGGAGAAAAAAACAAGTAAATAAATTTATTTTGCAGACTAGACAATATATTTGAAAATATTGAAAATTATAGAACGATCAATACATTTTTGAATAGTTAAAACTTTGACAGATTTAAATACTAATACAAAATTTTATGTCGTACAAAATTTTTAAAATTAAATATTTTTATATCATTCAAATTGTCAGCACAAATTCGGAAAAAAAATTGAAAAATTTAAAATGCAATAAATTGCATACTTTTAGGGGTAAATAATTTTTTTTTCAATTAATTGAAATGGGTATGTTATCTTCTTTAAATAAAGTAATTTAATGATTTTAAAACCATATGAAATAATTAGCAGATTAAAATTAAATGTATGTAGACTTAAAATAAGATTTTGCAACATTTTTATACCTAATCGCTAAGAATTCCGGTTCGAAAACAGTTAGAATAAAAATACCAATTAAAATTTCTAATACACTTACAGTGTTTGACATTTAGTTTTATTTAATTCTTTTGTATTGAGAACATTAACTTGCCTACAATTTCAATTCCTATTTTAACAAAAATTAAAATCATAAAACAGGATTTGTAATTGGAAAAAGTATTAAATAAATAGTAAAAAGTTTTCCCTTTAAATACTTAATTTAATAATAAAAAATTTAAAAATTTAATTTCGAAACAAAAAACCAAACACTATTTCGTTCAAAAGTAGCATTGTTATTTTAAAAAATTAATTCAACAATGTTGTGATTTTAATTTAAATATTGAATCCTAAAATTTATTTTCTTTAATGTTATCAAATAGTTTCAGTTATTTAAGTTTTTCTTTTATCATTAATTTTAAGACCAATCGTTATTTATTAAAAACTTACTTTAAGCACATTTAATTGCATAGCTGTACATAGATTTTTCATATATAGCATTACTTTGGGAAATTTTCAACTTATTTCTATTTTTATAGTTATGATGAAAAAAAGAATGTAAAATTTCTTATACTTTTTTCTCTCTTAAAAAGTACATATAAATTTTCTAATTTAAAACATTTATTTCAGTAAAGCTTTTTTAATTCCACTATTATATTTCTTAATTACATTTTGTAGAAAAAGAAAAGAAAAAACTAAAATCAAATACAAAATTTAGAATTCAACAAACACACACACACAATTTTTTTTTTTTTTTTTTGAAAAATTCTCTCAATATTTTAGTTCATGGTGAAAACAAATATTTGCTTTAACCCTTATGTTATCGTGAAGTATCATAAATTCATAATTAAAATAAGTAGTTGAAATTTATTAAAAGTTTGTAACTCTATATTATGGCATTTGAGGAAAAATACTAAATTTTGTTTACTACTTTTTGAATTCATTGTTGAATCCTATAACGAGAGATGAGTAAAATTTAATTTAAAAAAAATATTTCAATGCGATTTGTGTTAAATTTGTGAAACAATCACGACCATGTGGAAATGAAATCATTGTTGTTGTTTCCTTTTCAATTCATACCGATATGTAAAGCTAGTTTTGAGTGTTATAGTACTTAATTATTTGAGTAATTCATGATATTCGAGCCATCGTCTTACACCATGAAAACCATGTTCATGAAATATAGTACTATAGGTGATTTTAAAACTCTTATATAAAACTAACGAGCATTTTTTTATCAAGCAGATATGGGTTAAAGTAAATTACAAATTTTTGTGTTTATATAACTTGTATATTAAGAAATTTGTGCAAGATTTCGGAAGTAAGACGTTTTTTTTTTTAATTTAAAATTATTATTAAAACACGTTTTTATTCGATTACGAGTTTATGCTTAAAATTTGGTACTCATAGTAACTAATAGTACCGTTTTACTAATTTTTTCCTAAGAATTACAACAGCAGTTAAATTTAGAACAAGAACCAGCCAAAACATATAAATTTTAAAATCGTTGATATCAACAGACGGACACTGTAGCGTTATATACAAAATAAACAAAGTTTGAAAATTTTAATTTTAAAAACTTTTATAAAAATGTTGAATATTCTAAAATTCTGAAGTATTTATATAATTACTTATTCACTTTATAATTGTTAAATTTATATAAAAAGTATTTACTAATTCATATAAATACATTTTACCCTTAAAAATTTCGAATTTCCTTGAACTTCTTATAAAATATCATCATAGTTTATAATTTTCTCAAAAAAACGAAATTCATTTGAATCATGATATCATGCTGATTTTAAATAAACTATACAGAAATGTATATAAAAACATATTAGTACATAACATATATATACATAATTATAATATGTATGTATACTTATATTCAAATATATTTTAATTAGTAAATCAAACATAAAACACGATTTTTTTACTTCACTAAAGTATGCGTGAATAGTAGTACCCAAACTATAATATATACAAATACTGCGTGAATATTTTTATCATACTATGTATATACAGAGATGTAATATTTTAGGCCTTGGAATATTATACATTAAAGTATTTTTGAAATTATATTGAATATTTTTTTGTTTATTATTTATTTAATTTAGTTACTCTTATAGTCTTATCTTAATAGTTTCGATGGCATACACTGTTAATATTATATAAGTATAAAATAAATTTTAATATTATATCTTTAAAATGATTTGCATATCACAAATTCCTCATAACTTTTCAAATTAATAGTGCAAAAGGATAGTGTAACGCACAATCGAACAACTATACAGAAAAAATATGAGTAAGTTGTGAAAAATAATAGATTATAATATTTTTACAGGAACTGTAATAAAATATATATTTTTTCACAATATTTTCTTGAGATATTACTGTAAAAGCATATTACTGATCAACAATATTGTTTGAAAAATGCACAAATTTGAATTCCTACTCACACTGTTAAAGCTAAATCACTTCCAAACACTTTAATTATACCATTTTTCGGCTACAGTCCTATATAATATTATTCCTAATTAATAATTTATACCCTTAACTGGTAATAATATGATTAAATAATAAACATTTATTTTATCTGCAAATTGTTAATTTTACGCCTACTATTTTAGAAAATTCTTTGATTTTATGATTTTTTTCCCTCATAATTATTTTAGATTTATTCTAAATTAAATAAGAACTTCAATGATTGCATTTAAGGAAAAAAAAAAAATAAAAAATTCTGGTACACACCAGAGACCAATTAAGTACTTTTTCGCATAAAATTTTTCATATAAAAATTTATGAATGACTGCACTGGTTTAGAATATTTGTGGAACATATACTTCGCATAAACCATACGTACTCGTATAACATAAGAATAATATTTTTTCATATAATATTCACCAACAATTTTGTGAAAGTTACAATTAATTTCAACAAATATTCATACATATATACTCGTATATATATATATATATATGTATATATAATTGTCACTTAAGAAAACATATTTTTTAAAAATTCTTTTTTTTTTCACAAAATTTCCTTTTGTTTATTCACTATGAGAATGTACCATACCCGCCTGTCCTCTAAATTTTATTTCATATACTTATAATAATAATATGTATGTAGTTTGTATGTTTTCATATTTAAATTTTTTGAAAACAAAATATACAAATATATATATACATGTATGGAACAATCTTTTATTATATATGTATATGATGATAGCTTGAGAATTAATTGTGTTGCTCTTCTTCTCATATCTAATGTTAAATAAAAGCAAGTACACACTCCATTCTTTTTAATAAAATAGAAGATAACACAAATTAAAAATTTATTCAAACACATATGAACCTATATATGTATGTATATATATATATATATAGCAATATAATAATAAAATACATATTGTATGACAGTTGAAATAAAAAATGTAAATAAATGCAAAAAACAAAAAAAAATTCTTTCACTGTTCCCTTCATATATTTAGATCTCGTTTTTAGATACTATTTACTATATATATTTTTAAACTATGTATATGTATAGTTATATAGTATAATGAAATTTGATACAAATGCGTGAATAATTTTTACATTTCATGCACTTATAAATTCAAATTTCAGAATTTTAATTTAAAGATTCCTACACAATGAACAATGATAAATTTAATATTGAATGAAAATTTTTTTAAATAATTATTGGTATTATAAGTCTGTTTTGAATTATAATCAATAATTTCATTTAATATTCGTAAATTATTCGTTCATCTGCTTGAGAATTAAGTGTAATACGCTGTATATAGTATGAAATATATTTTTAGTGACTCCATAATGTCACTGATATCAGTGCATATCACTCCATAAACTTTGTGAAATAAAGGAGCAAAAATATTAAAAAAATTATTTAATTAAATGTTCTAAAAAATCAAGCTTCAAATGTTTAAACCATTCCTGTAATAGTTTTAGTTTTAAACTGTTATACAATAGTTACACAACAATAGTTATACATACTACAAAACTACTGAAAATGTCGCCAAAAACTGTGAAAAATGTTGTAAAACCCTGCTAAAGATAGAATGACATTGACTAAACTTTCATAGCTGAATATTGACCTTTGTTATTCATTTAACTTCATATAGCTTGAATATATTCACCACCACCCCCCCCCCCCCACATAAACAAGATGGTCACTAAAAATTTAGCTAAAAACATAAAATTTTCAATCTCTGCGTAATTTATTTATGTATTCATTTATGTACTAAACTGATTCACTGTCATATAAATTCTTCAAAATTAAAATATTATACAATTATTTCCTTTCCCTCTTTACAAAAAACGCATATTTTCTATCTTATTTTTTTCTTTTTCATATACAAAATATTCATATTCTCGAAATTCTAAGTACATATACAAAAGAATAAAAAAAAAAGAATGAGATGACATTCGAAAGGATGAATAATTTTTTTCTCTGTTTACATATTATTTAAGTGCATATAAAAAGTTTGTATTATATTATATACTGATATACATAGTTGTTACATTACATGTTATTTACAATGTAATACATACATATTTACATATATTTAC